CAAAATGTATGGCCAAGAAAAGTTGAACCAATAATCCTCCACGCTTTTCTTCAATTGAAAAATTCATATTTACAATTTTTGTTTATTTTAATTTACAAAGTTTGGAAGTGACAGTTTCACATTTCACGACGAATGATCTTGTTTCCATGGCTTACTTTCGAAAAAAACATATTATAGCTTATATCACTGAAAAGCTTAAAAAGTGGCGCTTTTTATGAAGTCATGGCGAACTATGGTTTCCATTTAAAAAAATGTTTGTGTCATATGTCAAAAAAGGCAGGTTTTAGAAAAAATCGGGAAACACAAACTCATTAGGGATGTGATTATCTACAACGTTTATCTGAAAACTTTTTGTCTAAAATAGATTTTTAAAATAGCCAAAATATGTTTTTTTCGAAAATATATATATCTAATAAGCCATGAACTTTTTTCGAAAATCTGAGAGGCGCATATTTACGATCCCACAAAACTGAAATTCTGTCCCCATTTAACCGACTCTCTATCTCCAGTAGTTTCCGAGATACCCATAGAGTACCCTACATCGTAGGAAACTCACCCTGTATAATCAATGTATAAGAACGGGCGATATCAGTGATTGAGATTTTTTTCAATACAATTTAATAGACACTAAGGCACTTAGCGCTTTATACAGGGTGTCCCAGGTTGAGCGTGCATTAGAAGTTTCTAGAGAACTATAATATCTAGATCGGAGATTTTTGCAAATCATTGTTTTACAATGAGATCTATCGATTAAAAATTATTTTCAATATGGCGGCACTTCCGGAAATACAGGAAGTTGACAGCAACTTTCTTATTTTAAATGGGTATCCCCATTTTTTATTACATACCTAAATTCTCTGTAAAATTTTATGAATTTTGATATTAGATACTCTACTCGTATATCTAACATTAACCGTTTATGAGAAAAAATATTTAAAATTTTTGGACGGGGCAAAAAACTGCCTGCTAAAAAAGGTTGTATAACCTAAACGTCAAATTTAGTGATTATTATTTACCATAGTCACTGGCTATCTATTTCAAAAATTAAATTGTTCAAATGTCTTAAAAAATTATCATAAATATTTTTTTTTCAAATGGAAACCAACTTTTTTTATTTCACTAGTGAAAAGGTTTGTTACTTTTTTACTTTACATGTTCATATACCTAAAATAAATTATTTATAAGTTACTAGCGTGTACCAGCGACTTCGTTCGCGTCGAATTAATCATTTGTAATGGCGATGATAAAGCAAAGTAAGAATTTCTATTAACATACAAACTGGATAAAATTTTCTCACATTTATGTCAGCATGAGAAAAAACAATATGGCGATATTATTATATAACTTGGTAATATTTGAGGGGTAGTTTCATCTCGTTGATATTTGACTTTCGAAAAATCCGTTTGCCAAAAATAATCTTTTTACGTCAAGCAGTTTAAGCAGAATCATGGTTAAGAAATTACCAAACCAAACTTTTTGGAACAACTTTAAAAAACTTCAAAATATGTAAAAAAACCAAATAAATTATGCTTGTCCAAACGTTTTCCCGAAAGACTAACCGTTTTTTAAATAACAAATATTGTAATATTTGAGGGGCGTTTTCACCCTCTTGGAATTTGAGATTCGAGAAAACCCTCCTTATCGAACCTCTACACCCCACAGTCAATCCGTTTACCAAAAATCAGCTTTAAACGTCAAGCAGTTTAAGCAGAACCGTGATTATTTAATGGTCATATTTTATGAAATACCCTGTATAAATTTATAAAAAAATCTTAAAATATGTAAAACAACAAAATAAAATATACGTGTTTAAGAGTTTTTCCGAAAAAATCACCGGTTTTTAAATAAAAAAATATTTTAATATTTGAAGGATAGTTTCACTCCCTTAGAATTCGAGTTTCGTAAAATTCCTTCTTATAGAACCTCTACACCCTAAAGTCAATCTGTTTTCCACAAACCAGCTTTCTACGTCAAGCGCTTTAAGCAGGATCGTGATTAATCAATGACCAGATTTTTCGAAACACCCTGTATACATTTTTAAAAAATCTTAAAATATGTAAAAAAACAAAACAAAATATACGTGTTTAAGCGTTTTTTCGGAAACTTGACCGTTCTTTAAATAAAAAATATTGGAATATTTGAGGGGTGGTTTCACCCTCTTGGAACTGGAATTTCGAAAAATCCCTTCTTATCGAACCTCTACACCCTAGAATCAACCTGTATGCCAAAATTGAGCTTCTTACGTTGAGTGGTTTGAGCAGGATCGTGATTAATCAGTATGTCAGTCACTTAAGGATTTTATATATTAGTATAGATATAGATTTAAGAGTTAGTTTTAAAACGTATTAATTTGATATACATCCTATTTACAAACTGAAGTAACCAAAAAGCTTCTACTTTGAAAGGTATTTTATGGCTACAGCAAAATGTTTAAATCGTTTTGCACCTGCTTATTTTATGACTTATTATACGTCTCCGCGCTGCAGGTAGAACTAATAGCGTTAGATAAAATGAGACTTCAAAACTCGAAAGACTGTTTTGGTCTATAAAATAGGTAGTGCTAACTGGTCTAAAAATAGATCATTTATAGTTAAGAGTAAGATTTAAAGTTGTTAGGTACTTTGAATATTTTCATAGTTTAAGTAGTTTTCAACGACTTCTGAAAATATCGACAATCTTTCCATATATACATGATGTCTCATTTATAAATCCACATTACAGAGAGATTATTATTAAACCAGAAGAGACAGTAAAGATGATTAAATTTGAAAAGAGTTATGATTTGCTGAACGTCATTTTTTGAAATCTAAAATGTCATTATCATCATTTTGTCATTCTTTAAGCTTGAAAATGTTTACAGCAGACCTTGCAGTCGAACATTGTTCTTTTAGTGCGAAGTGTACAAGCAGCCGTATAAAAACTCATCGCAACTTTATTAGAATATTTTGAACGGGAAACCGGTAACAATGACGGTAGTATGCCGCTAGTAGCGTATAGCAATATAATAGTATAATATCCTTAATTCAAAACACTTGATATACACTAAAAATTAGATGAAGATAAAATAAGATAATTTAAAAAAGGAGACTTAAATTTTATTTATGATTATTCACAGCTTATAATCAAACTGTGTCGAAAAATAAACATACAGTGTAATGAATAATTTTATTGCAATCCATTACTGGTTCATAGGTCATTAAAATTAAGAACAAGCAATTACCAACACAATTTAAATGGTATGATCTACTTTATTGCAGGAATATCAATAAATAATGTTAAACAAACTGATTTTCTATTTATAGGTGCTTAAAGAATGAACGAATGTAGAATGCAATAGCAGTTTTACAAAGGCATGTACAGGGTGGACCATTTTGGTTGTTTCTATAGGGTATCTAGAAAACAGTAATAAATATTCAAATTTTGATACTGCAGTCTCGGGTTCTTTTTTTGAAAAAATCACAATGCCGCAAACGGATCGTGGCTATCTTGATCGGTTTCGAAGCTACAGGGGGATTCTCAAATTTTGTACTTTTTGAAGATGTTCAATAGTTTGTTTATTTCGCCCAACTACGCAAAAATGAATTATACATTATAAAGGAATATTCCTGTGTAGAATGCAGTGGCGTAGTCAGACATTTTTCGCAAAAAATATTTTTTTATTTTAACTATCGAACATCTTCAAAAAGTACAAAATTTGAGTATCCCCCTGTAGCTTCGAAACCGATCAAGATAGCCACGATCCGTTTGCACCATTGTGACTTTTTCAAAAAAAGAATCCGAGACTGCAGTATCAAAATTTGAATATTTAATGGCTTATCAAATTAAAAGTTAAAATCATTATCTGTCTATTATACAAGGAAAAACAAAATATTGACTTATAGGCGAAAATTTGAAATACCATGTGGAACGGTTTAATGAGGGAAGGGTCTTAAAAACCATTATATCATCAAGATCCATCTTTCCGTGATCTTGGTTGTTTTTTGACTCATCTCTATAGCTTTATTTTTATTGGAGATATTCGCTTTTGAAGAAGACATTAATGATTTACAAAAATTGTAAGCATTAAAAGCATCCTTTGTCTCATCAGCACACCTACGAAATAGTAGTTATTGTTTTTGTAATGTCACTGTCACTGAAGAGTTGCAGATAAAAATAAGTATAAAAGTTCGTATAAATGTATGTCCTAAAATGTTTAGTTTCGGAGATACAGGGTGTAGAAGTTTAATTTTTATTACGATTTTTTCCAAATAATTTCTAAAGTCAATATTTGGATGAAAATTGGTGTATGGGAGTTTTTTAACGTGAGAAATTTGATTTTTATGTCAATATGACCCCTACTTGTAGAGGGCACCACCTACATATTTTTAACTGGTTTCAAGAGTAATAACTTTTCATCCGTACCTGTATAAAGCTACTGAGTCAAAAAATATACATTTACGACATTTTTTACATAACATTTTACATAAAAAATGTCTCTTGGTAAAAATCGCTACGAGTAATGGTTCTAGAGATATTTGGAATCGAAATTATCAATACCTGTCATCATTGACATAAATTAAACATGTTGACTAAATAGTTATTAGACTGAAATCATAAATTTGAAATGTTTTATGTGAAAAGTTCAGACAGAAACTTTTATCACCATTTTTTCGAGAAAAAATTTATAAATGATTTAAAAAATCAAAATTTCACAAATTTATTACCTCAGTCAAATAATTACCTACTCAACGTGTTTATTTTATGTTAATAATGACATGCCATTGACTTGAGAATGGTTGCTCGTAGAGTAGCGATTTTTGCCAAGATACATTTTTTACGTAATATTCTAGATATTCTAGATTATTTTTAAATATATAACACATCTTCAAAGAATAGAGTATATACTTGTCGATATTGTTCGCTTATATATTTAAAAAATAGGAAATTATTTAAATATTTTTAAAAGAGAACCGTCAACAAATAACTACCTACATTAGTGCGACACCTCATAAAGTACTCACCGACATTTCTATAGCAACTCCCATTATAAGCGTGCATCTGCTGTTGACAGGTACATCTGTCATCTTGACAGCCGGAATGGGGCACGGCGGCGTAGCACTGAACACTGGCCGTGCAGGTACTGTCCAAACC